ACTCTACGAGTTAGTCTTCCTGTCTTTTATCTCTACCCTCTTGAATCCATCTTCCTCACTACATGTTGAATACCGTAATCAAAATATAAATTAGTCCACCATACTCCCCTGCTGGAAGCAACTCAAACACTTGTCATCATCTTCATCCCTTAGTATAGATGACCTGTCCTTACCTCCCTTCGAGCCTCATAGTTTACCAACGTGCTTCTGTTTTTTGACCTAATTATAACAATTTCATTGAAATGTCTCCCACTGCTTCATGCTGCTTCATGCTTTGATATTGTAAAAAATGGCTTGGCAGCATTGCCAAACCTCCTCCTCCAGCACAAGGAGGGAGGAGAATCATTATCAACATCAGCAGCCCAAGGCTGATTCCTATGAAACAGAGGTCAGACGTACCTCTTCTCTCCAACCTTTTTACCATTTCTGACACCAGCTGTCCCTCTCATGGTATTCTCTACTTCTCTGCTGGGTTAGATAATTCACTGAAATGGTCACACAGAGCTCAAAGACAATACTTACGATTATGGGGTTTATTAGGAAAGTAACAGGTTACAATTTAGGATAGAGTGCTTCGATCAGGACAGCCTCTTCTCTGCAATCCCCACAGACAGGCCCCCCTCTGGTCCTCAGTCCCTTGGCCTTGCCTCTCACCTGCTTGGGAAAGTGTTACAAAGCTCTTTAGCTCTGCCGATAAGTGCTTGGAGGCATCCCACTCCTCCAGGAAGCCTCCTGCCCAAAGGTGTTCAGCTCTCTCTCTGTGGGTTGGCATACCAACTGCAACCACCTTGCTCTGTGGGCCAGGAAGCCCACTGTGCCATCTCCCACCAGTCTCCTATTTCTGCTGCCACTGTTTCTCTGTCACCACTTCTCACCATCTTGTGCTGCCTCCACTGTTACAGCTCTCTCCATACGTCTCCTGGGTCCAGGAGGTTCTCAGCACAGGGACCCCAGGTCCAAAGGATGTGCTCAGCTCCTGCATCTTCTTTCTTGGTGGTAGTGAGGTGTCCCTTTTCTGCTCCTGGGATGGCTCATTTTAAGCCCAGCAGGATTGCTAAACTGACCAATCCCCTCCTAAGTGTTCTATACAGCCAGAATGCTCCTTAGAAGGGAGAATGTTGATACTTTGTCTCATGCACTTGGGACCAGTCCCTGGAGAAGGACATCATGTTTGGTAAAGTAGAGGGTTAGCAAAAAAGAAGACCCTCAATGAGACAGACTGACGCTGTGGCTACAATACTGGACTCAAACATAGCAACGATTGTGAGGATGGCGCAGAACCAGGCAGTGTTTCGTTCTGTTGTACATGGGGTCTCTATGAGGCAGAACTGACTCAATGGCACCTAACAACAACAACCCCCACAAGGGTGCCATGCACTTTATTTGCCTTATTGACAAGCTGTCCAATTTTCTTGGTGGGCCACAAATGACTTATTTGCATAGTTCCACCCAATCATTTGCTGGGAGTTATAAGACCACGGCTAGAAAGGCCATATAAAAGCAATCCGTTGCACCATAGGCCATCCCCTGGCTTTTTTAGCCATGGTTCTTTCATACTTGGAGGATAACTTCCCCCTCCTAATCATTTTACCGTTACAAAATAGTCATTAACAATTAGTCCTTCAGTAGGGCAAAGAGTTCTCCAGGTAAGGTTACTCAGTTACAAACCATTCAGGTCTGCTGCAGGTATTAATCTGATCTGGTCAGGTTCTCCAAAAGTCATCTCAGCTTCACCCTTTCTGGTGTCTGATAAAATTTAACTGAGAGAAGATTATTTTCTTGCTCTGAGCCTCATGATGTATCAGTGTAGCAAATCAAATAGCAAATCAAATCCTTTAAGGTAATTTAGGTTTGGCTACGGTAACTTAGTCCAGCAGTGCCTCTCCCTTAGTCCACTTTCACGCTTACATCTTCTACAATTACAGTTTTTACAATCAAAATTAACTCACAACTGAATCATATAATCCTAGTGGCATCATCCTCCACCCTAAGTCAAAGAGGAAACTATTCACTGGGAGTCCTCCCTTGTCCCGCATATTTTGAGTGTAAGCACACCCACAAAATCATGTAAGCCAGCCGATTCATGCCTTTATCTCACCGCATTTTAGACAGCCAATGTTTAAATTACTTGTCACTATCAAACTAGTACTCTGCGCAGACAAGCATATTCTTTGATCTGAAGAATCTTCTGTTCTGGTTGGAACTTCGAGCATCTTCATCCATAAGCAAACTCCAGTCTACAGCAAGCTATCAAAATGCAGTGATTTACATCAGTTCACAGTGTCAAACATCTTTCTCTTCATTTGGCTGGATTCTGGTCAGCTAATCCCTAGCCCCTGTGGCCTAGGTCAATCATTACCAGCCATAGGCTTGGGAGTCCACACACTCTTACCTACACGTTAGACCAGCCAGCCACTTCTCCTTCTGTAATCCCTAGTCCCCACGGGCTAGGTCAATGGGACGTGTCCATACTCAGCCTCTTCATTGCTGCACTTCACTCACTTCCACCCAGGTGGTCACCATAAGTGAGCATACCAGGCTACTCACCAGCCCCCTTTAACTTTCCAGCCCTAGGAGGGTGTTCTTCTGATGGGTACTGACTTTTCCTGCCTCAGTGTACCCAAAGGCAAACCGCTTGCTCAAAATTCAAAAAGCAAAATAGTTATTTTTTTCTCTCTGCAAGTCCTTCTTCAAATGCAAATTTCTTACTCTTCAAGTAGTTCTGAGTGGGTCTGCATGTCTTTTCAAATGCAAATGTCCTAACTCTGAAGGTTCTGGGCAGGGATCAGGTTTTCCACCTAAGACCCCAATACTCTATACACAGGGCTACTGCATTCAAACCAACAGCCTGTGTTTCTTTCGGACAAATCCTAGTTCCCGTTTTAGCACATCCAATCATGTACTGGCTGAAAGCGGAGTTACATGCTCTCTGTAATATATAATACCCAATATTCATTTCCATCATACATTTAGTTCTGTTTTACACTAGGTGGGAGAAACATTCAATATCCAGAGTACATTCAAACAAACACATAACCCTTTTAAAAACATTCCAGTTTCATCTTCTCTTCTCCACACCATGACTATCATCCCATTCATATGCATATGGCCTTGGACCTTTGGCTGGGTGGAATCAGAAGACCCTGGCCCCCTATCAATCATCTTGTTTAACCAGCCTACCTTTTGACCCAAGCCACTGCAGATGTGGCTTTTCTGTACTCAGCTGCAGCATAACATCTCTTACTTTCCTTTCAGCCATTACAGACAAGAACAACCAAAGTAATCTTCCAAGAATCAAAAATTTCACTTCCTACACCTCTTTGTTCTTTCTCTTAAAAAGTCCCATGCTTCTATGAGTCTGAAGTCCTTGCAGTGAATCCTGCTTCTGACACCAACTGTAAAAATGGTGGTGTGGAGGAGACATCTGGCTTCCTCTCACTTCATGAAGGGGGAGAGAATCACCATCAGCATCAGCCCGAAGCTGATTCCTATGAAGCAGAGGTCAGACATACCTCCTCTCTCCACCCTTTTTACTAATTCTGACACTAGCTGTCCCTCTCATGGCATTCTCTACTTTTCTGCTGGGTTCAATAATTCATTGCAATGGCCACATAGAACTCACAGAACATACTCATGATTATGAGGTTTATTAGGGAAGTAACAGGTTACAATTCAGGAAGGAGTTCTTTGATCAGGACAACCTCTTCTCAGCTATGCCTGCAGCCATATCTCTCTCTGGCCATTGGCCCCTTGGTCTGGCCTCTGCCCTTCTTGGGCAAGTGTTAAAAGTTATTCACCTCCACCAATAAGTGCCAAGAGGCATGCCACTCTGCCAGGAAGCCTCATGCTCGAAGGCCCTCAGCTCTCTTGCTTCACAGTCTGCACACCCGATGTAACCACCTTGCTCTGTGGGCTGAGAAGCCCACTGTGCTATTTCCCACCAGTCTGCTGGTTCTGCTGCTGCTGTTTCTGTGCCACCACTTCTTGCCATCTTGTACCATCTCCAGTGTTATGGCTCTTTCTCTATGTCTCCTGGGTCTAGGAGGTTCTCAGCACAGAGACTACAGGTCCAAATGATGCGCTCCACTCCTGTCTCTTCTCTCTTGGTGGTAGTGAGGTCTCTCCCTTTCCTCCTCTAGAATGGCTCATTTTAAGCCTACCAGGAAGGAAAAACTGACCAATCCCTTTGTTAGGATTCCATACATCTTATTTACATGGTCCCATCCCCACAGGTATACTTGCACCTTATTTGCATTATTGACCAAGCTGTATAATCCTGTTGGTGAGCCACAAGCACCTTATTTGCATAATCCCACCCAGTTAGTTGGTGAGAGTTACAAGACCATGGCTAGAAAGGCCATATAAAAGTGATCTCTCACATATAGGTATTTGTGCTTTTACTGTTGCCCTTTACCTGAATTTCCCTTCTTTCCTTTTTAAAATCTGGTTAATTTAGCACAAACTTTAGTATGCATTTCAGTGGCACTTTCTCCAGGACAACACCCCTGAATCACTCAAAAAAGTGGATGCCCCTCTGCTCACTTCAGCAGCACCTGTGCAGATTTCTACCTTGGTACTTGCCTTATGTTGATAGTCCTTCATTAAACCATAAGTTCCCTGTACGCAGGATATGTTGTTTATCTTTCTTCTCCAGTGCATAGTACAGGGTTGGTCATATAGAAGACACTCTATAAGGGTGGCTTGCGCACAGTCTTCTGATGTGGCATTTCAAACTCACGTGTATAAGTTACCTTTGTATTCTGGAAGTGTTACACCAATTCTGGCTATTACCAACATGAGTATCCTTGCATATTAATGTTACTGCTGAATAACACAGCTGTTTTATTCTTATTTAGAAACTATTTAGAGTTGTAATAACTACTTTCTATAATATGTCAAAGGCATTTAAAGCTACATATGAGTTTCCTGTGTTTTAATAGACAGGATTAAAAAATACCAAAATACGATATTCAGCTTTTTTATTTTTTGTTTTTGTGCAGGTTGCTGCCAATTCCTGGGGAAAGTCATGGGGAGAGAATGGCTATTTCAGGATTCTTCGAGGAGTAAATGAGTCTGACATTGAAAAGTTGATTATCGCAGCTTGGGGCCAAATGACAATTTCAGAGGAACCATAACACATCATTAACTTTCCATAAGGCCATGCATTTAAGTAACCTTTTAAACTGAAGTTTAGCAATATGAAATTCTCAGTGCAAGTGGAGTCTTTGTTTTTTCACCCTGTCATTATAATGTATCTGTTTTCTTGTTTTACCCCAGGCTCCATACGACTGCTTCCTTTATATTATTGAGTATATGAAACACTAATACAGCACGATTGAAAGGCTAAATGCCCTTAAACTTCCTAACTTATCCTTTTTTTTCTGTTCTGCCAGCATTCTCTTTGCCTTTAATAGTTCACAAACTGGGTGATCACAACTGTCTTAAAAGTTTATAGCGCTCATTTGTAGAAATGGTCACAGTTTCTCTCTTTGACAAATGAGGACTTTAGACAACATAAAACTAACGGAAACTCACCAATTCTACCATCTTTAGCACTTTTTTTGCCCGACTAAGTAGTGTTTTCTTAATTCAGACCTTACTTATGTTTCAACAAAAGCAGTGGAAATAGATTACAAATTGTTTCTCTCAATATGCTAGTATTTTGTTTCTTTTCATTTACCTAAACCTAAACCTAACTTGTAATCAGGTCACAAAAGGAAAGTAACTCTTCATAGGAAATAGCTGCTCTTTATGGTACTGTGCAATATTCCTTGATGGGGAGATGTTGAAGATCGCAAAAGCTTAAAGGATAACAAGAGAAATACAGTATCGACATACGCACAGCTCTATTTTTGGAAGCCAGTATGCTTTGTTTAAAATCTATTAAAATCATCTGAAAAACTGTATTTAGAAAGATAACATATTTATCCCTGAAAACTGCAACATGATGCCGTGAGTCAGAGAGAATAAATACACTTTTATCACGACCATTTCACAGTTCACTGCTTGAGATTCTAAAAAGTAAGCTAAATTGGCACAAATTTGCATCTAATTTTGATTTTAGTTCTCTATAGTCAGAGAAACAAAAATAGCATCATCATAATGGCTGGGAAGTGTATAATCTTTTAATAAGTCATTGGCATCTTAAATGGCAAACTAATAAATGAAGAAGCAAAGCTGATCATTAAGTGAACATGGCCGATTACAGTTACAATGGGGGGATATACATAGCTTGAATTTCTAGGCACTCTGTCATCCTACTTTTTGGTGTGGAGCTTTTTTACACTGTTACGCTCAGAAGTGCCCTAATTAGATAAGCCAGACAGGCTGAAAATGTGAGGAAACAGCAAAGAAATTTGAAGTATGGCTGCTATTGTTTTCTTTATTAAACACTGGCTTTCTCAGGAGAGGCATCTATTCACTTGGTTTTCCCTTAGAAAATATACATGACAGAGATACACCTTGTTGAGGTTGGCCAACAGTCCCCTCAGGGCTTCGAACCAGTTCGAATTGGTTCAGTCATGGCCAATGAAGCAAAACCAGAATAGACTCAAATATTTATAATTAGGTGATCTGGAATGGTAACCAGAATGGGAAAAATCACAGGTCAATTTCCTGGAATGGGAGACTCAGAAGAGGCATTGTAAGTCCTTTAAGGAGCCTGATGCATGAGATTGGATTATTGCCAGGACTGTGGAGAGTGATGCACATTCAGAGTGACACTATTGGCCACCATCTCTGAGCGAGCACCACTGTTTCCCACTCTGCACAAAATCCAACAGGCATAAGATTTGGTTGCTACGCAATGTGTGCACTGCCCTTGTTTTCTAAGAGGGAGATTAAGTTTCTAGCAAGGCTTCGGCTCTAATTTCTCCCATTCGTTACCATTCTGGTTAACCCAAATTCTAAAAATTCATATCTGTTCTGGTGTCACTTCCTCAGCCATGACTGAACTGGGAAGAACTGGTTTGAAGCCCTGATTCCCCTAGAGGCTTAAGAATTAATTCAGTGTTATTTCAGTTTGGGTTCCTCCAGAAACACCCTCTGAAACAAATAGTTTATTTTGACAGTGAAGGCAACACTGAAAGGAGTATGGGGAGGTGATGCAAGGTAATGAAAGCTGACGATAAAGGGTACTTCACCAAGCAAATTACCACCATAGGCAACTAATTCTCATTCCAATGGGGACTGTTAATGAATTCCTCATATGTATGCCACCAGAGAAAAGAGGCATTCCTTGGTTGAGAGTTGCTCCTGAGAGCCATGAATTCCCTGGTCCTCTGGCCTGGTGGATCAGTGGTAGAATTCTCACTTCCCGTATGGAAAACCTGGGTTCCATTCTTGGCCAAAGAACCTTATGCACAGCCACCAACAATTTGTCATTTGAGGCTTTCATGTTGCTATGATGCTAAACAAGTTTCACTGGAATTAACAGAATAAAATGGACTAGGAAGGAGGACCTGGCAATCTACTTCTGAAAACGAGCAAATGAATATCTTATTGGTCACAACAGTCTGTTCCACAACTGATCGTGGGGATGGTGCACTACGGAGCAGTATTTTATTCCCTTGTGCATAGTGTCACCATGAGTTGGGCTGACTCGATGGCAGCTAACAAAAACAACAGTTAGCCTGGCACAAGGGTGGGTTCCCGTGTCAAGGAAAAACCACAGGCAACAATATGCATGTTCTTATAGTTGGACATCAGGGCAATGTCCCCTGAAAAGGTACAGGTGAAGTGATGTCAGCAAGGTACCAACAACGTCTCTGCTACAAATGTTAAAACATTTTAAAACATTCCTTAGATGTTGAAGACTGCTGAGTCTTCAACATAAGTCATAATGCACTAATGTGTCAAATGACTAGCATTTATTCCTCTTAAAAATACCTCTGGGGACTTTCGGCCAACATGGCAGCTTAGTCAGAAACACCATGCCATCCCTCTACAACAAAGACCTGAGAAACCAAGTGAAACAGATACTACAGATGACAATCCTGGAATCCTGAACATCAAATGAAAATATAATGAACTAGATTGAACACTGATTGGAAGAAGACACTGAGTGAAAACAGCGAAGGAGAAGAGGCAGGGCCTGGCACAGCATAGCAATCTTGAGACAAAGACAGCAGTAATCCCAGGTGAGGTGCACAAAACGAACCTCATGGAATTTCCAACAGGACATAGAGTAAATGTGTAGACATACCTGGAGTGAAATAAGGTCCCAATTGCTGGCTGAGGCTGATGAGGAGAGCCCAGACACCCTCGCCCAGCGACCAGAGGAGCATGCTCCCCTTCCTCTACCCTCCTGGTGAGTAGCAGCGCAGACCCCCCCACCCCATCCCTGCAGCCTGACCACCGGGAACCAAGGTGGGAGCTTCCTTTTCTTCCCATATCCCCAACTGCGACCCTGTAACTTACATCATGCCCTTCTGAGCTGGCCGGGACTGCTCCAATGACCCCACCAACTTGACCAACCCCCACCACTGCCCCGGCCTTCTCAGCACACAGGACTGCTCTGGCTGCTTGGCCCTGCCAATGCCCACTGACCTATCCCCCTGAATGGTGCGAGACTGCTCCAGTGACCCAGCCTACATGAGACAAGTGGAAGACAGCATGCTCCCATGCACCCACTGGCCCACTGTATTCACCACAGCCACTGCCCTGCTCACTCATGTATGCCAGCATCTGCTCCCATGCCATGGGACTGACAATAGACAGTAGCCAATGCCTGCCCAGCCCGTCCTCAGCCTTCCCACACAACTAGTAAACAGAGACCTGTTCCCACACGGCCAGTCACCAACCTGCCCACCAAGAGCCAGCTGGTGAGTGCTCCAGTGCTGCCAGACTAGGAACCAACATAGCATGCCTTCCCTGCCTGCTCAGATATATTAAAACAAAGCAAAACAGAAAATCAGGATGCAGCAAACAAACATACAATCAATCAATATAATAACACCTTAATGTCTCGGAGACAACAGAAAATATAAAATCACATAAAGAAGCAGGACAAGATGCTTCAAGTAACCAAAATAAAGGGCAAGAAAATCTTCCTGAGGAAAAAATGGTAATGAAACTACCCGATAAGAAATTCAAAAGACTTATGTACAGGATCCTCCAAGAGATCAAGGAAAACACAGAAAAAAATCAAGGAAACACAGGCAAAACTCCAGAAGAATTCAGGAAAACAGCACAAGAACAAAATGACAAAATAGACAATTAGAAACCATACAAAAACAACAGCTAGAAATCCAGAAGTTTAATAAAATTTCAGAAATATATAACTCAATGGACATAAGAGTAGAATTGAATCAATGGGAGACAGAACTAGTGAAATAGAGGACAAATCCCTTGACACTAATTTGACATATACAAAACCCTGAAAGAAAAAATTTCCAACCAAGAATTATATATTCAGCAAAATTGTCTCTCAACTACACTGGTGAAATTAGGACATTTCCAGATAAACAGAAACCAAAGGAATTTGTGAAAACCAGACCAACCCTACAATAAATATTAACATGAGCCCTTTGGACAGAGAACCAATTTCAGACAACAACCTAAGATTAAGACACATAATAACACCACCCGGATACCAACCCAGATAAAGAATTTTCAAAAATAAAATAAAGCTACAAGACCGAAAGCAGTGAAAGAGATGTCAATCTGTAAATGACAAAGACTTAAAAATAAAAAAGGAAGAATCAATGGTGCAGTTACAGAACTTCCATACGGAGAGGAAGTCAAGGCAATATCAAGATATAACAGATCATTTTAAATTTAGTAAGATAAAAGTAAGTTTCAGGGTAACCACAAAGAAAACTAATAATCCTTCTCACCAAAATTAAAAAGAAGTAAATCATAAGGACTCAGTAAACACAAAATCAACAGTAATGAAAGAAATGAAAAAATCCACAAACAAAAAGAACTCAGCACAGAAAAGTACATGGAACAAAGATATCATCAACACCACAAAAAATAAGCACAACAAAATGACAGCAGAAAATTTATGCCTAACAATAATTCTACTGAATGTAAATAGATTAAGTAAACCATTAAACAGACAGAAAGTGGCAGAGTGGATAAGAAAACATGATCCATCAGTGTGCTGCCTACAAGAGACACACCTTAAACACAAAGATAAAAATAAGCTGAAAATCAAACGGTGAAAAATCAAAGGGTGAAGATATATGTATATATATATATATCAAAAAATACATATATCAAGCAAACAGCAACCAAAAAAGAGCAGGAATGACCATATTAATCTCTGATAAAATAGACCTTAAGGTAAAAACCAGCATAAGAGACAAAGAAGAACTTAT